ATTCGATCCGTCGAACCCTACATAACGGTATAATCATTATTTCCAAACGAAATATATACATAATTTCTACCGGGTCCGTCTCAATAATTAATTAATTATTCCTAATTAATTAATTCTGATAGGCCGGGTTTTGGGGCGTTACACAGACGGATAGTATGTCTAAGATAACGTTTCACATCTTGGAAGACATGATGAGAGCTTGCATCATCAACCTTGGATATGGTTGGGAGCGATACTTACCATTAATGGAATTTGACTACAACAACAGTTATGAGGCTATCATTCAAATGGCTTCTTACAAGGCATTATGCGGAAGACGTTGCAAAACCCTGGTCTGTTGGACCAAGCTTGGCGAGCCCAAGCTTGAAGGACCTGACCTTGTTCACGAAGCAGAAGACAAGTTTGGTTGATACACAACAAGCTACAAGTTGCTTAAGATCGCAGAAGTCCTACGCCGACCTCAAGCGTAGGGAAATTGAATATAATGGTTACGATTGGGTATTCCTCAAGGTTTCTCCATGGAAAAAGGTGTTGATATTTGGAAAGAAGTATATGCTAAGTCCTAGGTTCACTGGACCATGCCGGGTCATTCAACGAGTAGGACCAGTGACTTACTCGTTGGAGTTACCTCTAGAGCTACAGAAGATACATGACGTGTTCCACGTGTCCATGATGAGGAGGTATTAATCAGGCCCATCTCATGTTTTACCCGAGGGAGCATTCACCCTCGACGAGAACCTCACCTATGAAGAAGAACCCGTACAGATCCTAGCACATGAAGTAAAGGAACTGAGGAACAAGCAGTTCCCTTGGTTAACGTGCTTTGACAAAACCATGCCAGGGAAGAAGCAACCTGGGGGACCGAGGAGTCCATGCAAGCTCAATATCCTCAACTCTTCAGTGACCAATGACTCGGGCAATTTCGAGGACGAAATTTTTTTAAAGGGGAGAGAAATGTAACGTCCCAAAACCCGGACTATCAGGATTTATTAACTAATTACTAAGACAGACTCGGTGTAATTTTGAAATATTTTTTTTTGACAAGAAGGATTATACCGTTGTGTAGGGTTCGACGAAACGAATCCAACGATGCAAATGGATTAGGAGTTTGTGGGCACAGAAAGTGTGTTTTGGCCCAGGTACATGGACTAATTACGGAGCCCCAAACCCCAAACCTATATATGCCACCTCATGTACGTGTAAACCTCTTAGCTACACCCCAAATTTACGTAATCTCTTAACTCTCCCTCTCGTTCTCTTTGCTGGTCGAAGAATAGCAACACAGAAGGAATAGGGAGAGAAGAAGAAGAAGAAGAAGAAGAAGAGAAAGGAAGCCCGCGCCACTCACGTGATCCGTTAGTATCGTTTGTAGCCTTCTATTCATCGTAATTGGGGTGAGTACGTGGACATCTAACATATAGTTTCATGTGAAAAGTAACCATGCAAGGATAGGCAGCGGAAAACAAATTTTAACATCCTAACATGATTATCATGGCCAGAATCACGTTCTAAAACTTATAGTAAGTAAGAAATTTATACCCTTTTTTCGGAAACGGTAAAAATGGGGAAGTCGTAGGAAGAGCATTGAAAGTGCAAACGTAACCATTCAAGGGTCTGGTCTCCAACTTGACACACGAACAACGCCGGAGTCTACCACAATCTTTATGCTAGTAAAGATTGTAGTAGTATAAAATATAAAAATTAAAATTTGGGATAATAATAATCTTGTATATTTCTATAGAAAATATTTCTAATAATATTTAGAAAATATTATAGATATTTTCTATACACAAAATGATATTAATGGAACCCAAAATAAAATTTCTTTCTCTCTTGAATGATGATGGCCGAACAAAAACTCCCACAAAAAGAATGGAATGGTGGGGAGTATATTTGAGGAGAAAAAGTGATTATGAATTTGACTTTGTCATTAACTAAATGACAAAATAGTTAGCTCTACTCAATAATCAATAAGGAAATTTTCTTCCTTTAAAATCTTATCATGGCCGAAATTAAGATTGTGATTATGAGAAGGATTTTCAAAATTCTTCTCCACTTAAATGTTCAAAGTGTATTTTATTTGACACCAAAAATTAATATAAAATTAATTTTAAATCAAATAAAAATACCAATATCATTTTTAAACAAGTATAAAATATACTTCAAATAGTTTATATCAAAATAATTATTTTCATAATTAAAATGACAAACCAAAATAAAATATTCAATATATATATATATATATGTATGTATGTATATATATATATATATGTATGTATGTATATATATATATATATGTATGTATATATATATATATATGTGTATATATATATATATATATATATATATATATATATATATATATATATCAGTATATGATAGATAAAATGGTTAGGTCTAGAGAGTGGGGGGAGCTAGGCGATTCTCGCCGCCGTCCCCAAGCTCCTCATTTAGAGATCCGGCAGCCTTCTCATCGTTACCCCTACAGATATCGAAGAAGATCAAGCAGATGGAGGGAGCGAGGGGAGTCTCGCAGCCGTCCCCAAGGCAGTTTCATAGAGCTCCGTCAACCATTTCAACACCACTTCTACAGGGATCGAAGAAGGTATAGAGATTGGGGGGAAAGGGACGAATCTCGCAGCCGTCCCCAAGAATGGTTTTCAAAGCTCCGACAACCTCAACTTTGCCGATCTTCTAGAGATGAAAGAAGGAATGAAGATGATCCTAGACGGACGGAACACACCCAACTCAAGGCAGAGGTTTTTAATCAAAGGAATCCTCCTAAGGTTCTCAATCGGAGACCTTTCAATAACTCCCTAGACGGACAGAACTCATCCAACTCAAGCCAGAGGATTTTTATTGAAGATGATGGACCACTACAACTCTTCCACCCTCCTTGGCAAACAAGAAATTTGAGAGCCTCATTCCAATCGGGTAAAATAGTTTTCAATCTCTTCCACAGGAGGCATGTTTGTTTGCTGGCAGTTCAGGTGAGGATTATGGCCCCATTCATTAAACTTTTCTTCTATGAAATTGGGCTTAGAATTTTTTCAGCACTTCAGCCACAGGACCACAGATCTCAAAGTCAGCTTCCTGGTGGACGGACTCAGTTAGAAGCATGTGACTTGGAGGCCTCCAGCTTTATAGCAGTTTTTAAGTGGCCCATTTCAAAAGTACTATAGGTTGGATATTTGTGTTCATCCGTTTCCTTTATGGAACACTTCTATTGTACTATTTTTTGTATTCTGAATATATATATATATATATATATATATATAAAAGATATATATGAATATGGTTCTAGAGAGAAGGGAGAGAATTCCGGCGTCTTGGCCGGAAAAATCTCAGGCAGCTATCATTGATAGCACAAACTTAGAACCATCTTTACCCACTAAAGCCACAAAAAAGAATAATTTCATAAAGTCATTTCGAGCACTCTTCCAACAAACAAATCTTAATCCAGTTGGCAAGGTTGAGGGCTACTATGGCAATATGCCCTCAGTTAGTTTCAGCGCTGAAGAAGAAGAATTACTAGAAAGCAAACTGCATTATTCAGCAGTTGGAAGATTTACAGAAGACATTCATCTCTCACACCTCAAGAATCTGCTTACAAAACTGGGCTTCCATTGGTTCAGAATCAGGAGAATTAGCAAGAGAGATGTTCTCTTTACATTCAGAGAGGAAGAAGACTACCTTCGTTTCATTCTTAAACAAAAATGGTACGTCTATAATTCATCTTTCTACGTATTCAAATGGACTCAAGGCTACAAAAGTAATGAAGACAGCCCCTTCTATCCAGTATGGGTTTCTTTTGACAAGCTTCCTCTTCATCTCATTGATTTCCAAGCTCTGTTCACCATTGATTCCTTGATTGGAAAACCTGTTAGAGTTGATGATTACACTATTAATAGAGATAGAAAGGAGGGAGCCAAGGTTTGTAATGAACTGGACCTGTCTTTGCCTCCCCCAACTAAAATCCATATTAGATTGGGAGGGCAGAATCTAGTTGTCAAATGTAGTTATGAATCTATGCCTTCATTTTGTTCTCAATGTAAAAAAACTGGGACACAAGATAGGTAGATATTGCTCAAGCAAAGGTCCATCACCCACCGGAAAAGTTCCCTCCGGCAAGGGGAAGGAGGGCATCACAAATGTGACAGAGTCTGAGTGGGAGGAGGTCAAAAGAAAGAAGACAAGGAGTACTGACCACAAGCAAAATGCTGGCAAAACACAGGTGGGATCCAAAAAGTTTGCTTGGAAACTGAAAGCTAGTAAAAATCCTGGTGCTAATAATTTCAATCAATTGGACCTACTGCCCAGTGAAGAAGCTAGCCCACATGTAGAGGTCTTATCTTCTGATCATTGTCCAATATCACAGCTAGTGGAGGGCCCCTTATACCCCAATGATCTCAATCACTTTCCTACACTCAAAGAAGCTAAGGAATATGCCCTAAAGTCCAGACAATGCCACCAAAATAAGCCAAATTCTGAGAATAAGTCAGGCACAAGGAATTCCTTCAAAGGCTCCCTTGATGACTGTCTTCATACCACACACCTGATAAGGGCCTGGCAATGCTACTTCATGAAATTCATCATTCTCACGAGGAAGATGAGGTGGAAACTAGAAACTTTGGATATCACTCTGATGGAGACCAAAGTAAGGAGGTCATTGACAGATCAGATTTATCTCCTAAGCCATTTTCATCTCCTACCCCAACAAGCACACACATTTTTGTCCCCAAAAAACAGAGTGGAAAGAAGAAGGGTCAACTAACCACTATGATTACTAGAAGCAATAAAGGCCATAAAGACTTTCAATATTTATGTCTTTAATGATTGTGTTTTTTTGGAATGTATGTGGAGTTAGATCCTCTCTTAAAAGGATCAAAATATACAAAAGGAACTATAATATGGACTTCCTGGCTATTATAGAACCTATTGTTGCTGCTGACAAAATAGGTTTATATAAACTACAATTGGGTTTCACTTATGGAATAGCTTCTACCAACAACAAAATTTGGATTTTCTGGAATGAGGATACTCTCTTGCTACAAAATAACAGTGAGGATGAACAGCTGGTCAATTGTGATTTTTTGGAGGCAGACACTAAAGATCAAGTAAGAATCACTACTGTTTATGGTAAACACAGTGGTAAAGACAGAAGGGGTCTTTGGCACAGTTTGCAAACCCTCCAAACCAACAACAAATGGGTTGTTGGAGGGGATTTCAATATCATTGCTGAATGGAGTGAACACAAAGGTAAGACTATGCCTAATCAAACTGACATGACGGAGTTCAAGGACTGCATTGCAACATGTAATCTAAACCACCCTCACACACAAGGATCTATCTTTACCTGGTCAGGAGGTAGAAGGAATGGCATAGTGTTCAGAAGGTTGGACAGAGCATTAGTCAATGAAACAGTTTTGCAATACTTTGATGATGTTTGTGTTAAACACCTAATTGTCAACTTCTGACCATAAGCCTGTACTTCTCACTTGCTTTAAAGAAGAACTTGGGGGCCCAAAACCTTTTAGATTCATTGATGCCTGGGCTCTTCACCCCTCCTTCCTTAAGGTGGTCAATGAATACAAGAAAAGCACTCATCCCTATGGAGGTATGGCAGGTCTCAGCTCAAAACTAAGGTGCCTTAAGGGTGTTCTTACAGTTTGGAACAAAAGCACTTTTGGTAACATCTTTTCCAATCTTAAAGAGGCAGAAGAACAAGCTATTTCAGCCCAGGAAGCATATGAGCAGGATCCTAATCATAGTAACAGAGAGGCAGATAACAAAGCCAGGGCTCATCTCATTCAAGCTACTAATATTGAACTACTATTCTGGAAACAAAAGGCAAATCTCAAATGGATTTCAGAGGGAGACTGCAACTCTAAGTTCTATCATGCTTATGTTAAAGGCAGAAGGGCTAAAGCTAAAATAAGATGCATTTATGATCAGACAGGTAAAGAGCACCGAGATATGGAGAACATTAGCAGGAGAGCTATTGATCACTTCACAAATGTTTTGAGTAACACTCAGTCCATTCAAGTCGAGCCTATGATGGATTACCTGGAAGAAGTAATTACAGCTGAGGACAATGAGAGAATTTGTAAATTAACCTTTGAGGAGGAAATTAGAGCTGCAGTTTGGTCTCTTGATCTTGGAAGTGCTCCAGGGCCAGATGGCTTCAATGGCACCTTCTACAGAACCTGCTGGAATATTATTAAAACAGATGTTATTAGTGCCACACAGGAATTTTTCACTGGTGTCCCTATACCCAAGGTATATGGAAGCACCTTTATAACACTTATTCCCAAGAATGAAAAACCTAGAGTCTTTGGAGACTTCAGACCAATTTTCTTGTCCACCTTCATGAGCAAAATTAATACAAGGATTCTTGCTAATAGGATTCAAGCTATTCTCCCTAAAATTATTTCTGATGAGCAAACTGGTTTCCAAAAGGGCATGGGGGTAGAGGAACAAATTCTTTTGGTTGAGGAAATGGTTCACAAAATTGACTCCAAGGTCAGAGGAGGTAACATCATTGTTAAGATGGACATGGCTAAAGCCTTTGATAAGTTAGAGTGGCAGTATCTACAAGGGGTTCTAAGAAAACTGGGTTTCACAAGTCAAGCTCAGAATCTGCTTATGGCTAACCTTAAATCCACTTTTCTTTCCATTATGATTAATGGCAGTCCCAGGGGATTCTTCCAGATGAAAAGAGGAGTTAAACAGGGTGACCCCCTATCTCCACTCCTCTTTATCATTGCTGGAGATGGACTTTCTAGAGCACTCAATTTCTCAATGCACTCTTCCTACATCACCAACTACAACACGGGAAGAGACATGATGAGAATGTAGAATTATCTATAAACTGAAACATATTCTCAATATCTACATGGGGGCCTCTGGACAACAGATTAACTATGGGAAGAGTAAGTTCTACAGTGGTAACAAACTCAGCAGGGCAGCCATTATCAAAATAGAAGGAATTTTGGGAATGAAACATGACAAAATCCCTTTCAAATATCTAGGGGCACCAATCTGCAAGGGGAAGCTAAGGAAAACAGATTGTGGTGAGCTTATAGATCACTTTACTAAGTACATTGAGAGCTGGTTTAGCAAGACTCTAAATCAAAGTGGTAGACTAATCCTCATCAAGCATGTACTGTCATCCATCCCTCTGCACCTTATTGCTGTGCACACACTACCCCAGTCTGTTATTAACAAGTAACATTCCATGATGGCAAACTTTTTTAGGGCAATACTAGTGGTAACAACAAATATCATTGGACTAAGTGGGAAGATGTATGCAAACCAAAAGAAGAGGGTGGACTGGGAGTTAGAGACATAAGGGACATCCAGGATGCCTATTCTATCAAGATGTGGTGGAATTTCAGATACCATAACAACAAGTGGGCTCAGTTCATGAGACAAAAGTATAGTACAATTTGCTATGAGGAAAAGCTCACAGACTCTCCTATTCGAAAAAGAATCTGCAGAATTAACTCAAAGGCAGAGGAATTCTTGGGGGACATCACTCCAGATCAAGGGGAAGATGAAGAAGAAATGGAGGCAGTTCCTATAACTATCAAACAGGCCTATGAACACTGTAGGATTCATACCAATATGTCATTGAGTGACTCTTTCCTTTGGGACAATCTACAACTCCCAAAAATACAGATGTTCCTATGAAAAGTTAAAAACAATATCCTCCCTTTCCCTGAGAACATGAACAGATTCAGGACGTGTTTCCCATCTCAATGCCCATTTTGTATGCAGGAAGAAGCCACTATGGACCATTGTCTTTTGCAATGTACCAAGATTCAGAATATTTGGGAAGAATTGGCAAATATGTGTGAGGGTCCTAAACTGAACCAGGGTATAGGACTAAGACAGCACATACTAGAGTGGAATTTAAGATCATCAAATAGTTCTTATGTGGGAAATCTGAGGCTAGTATCTCCAGGTATTATTGCATGGTCAATTTGGAAAGAGTATGCTTCTATTACATTTGGAGGGGAGAAGGTGAACTATGGGGGTATTTGCAACAACATCAAACTTACCGTTAATCTGTGGTGCTGGAAGTTTCGAAGAAAGGGCTGGATGATCAAACAGACCCAGTGAGGGAGGATTGCAATCCTTCGCTCTTGGAGGAGACCAGATTTGCATAAGACCTGTGATTTGAAATCGGTTGTGCTACGGGGAGGCGCCTATTTGTTTTGTCTCTCTCTGTTCAAATGTTTTTTTATCTTTCCTTTTGCTAATCATATACTTTCGGGGCACTGGTCTAGTCCTCCCCGAACGTGTTGTAACGGTATCATCTTTTCTTTCTCAATAAACTAGGTATGTGTTCCCCGGCGCTACCACACCGATTTTGGTGATTTCTACCGGGATTATATATATATATATATATATATATATATAAATGGAGGGTTTTAGAGAGAGATGGGGCGGCGCTAGGGCTCCTGTTCACAATCGACGATTAGGCCACGCTGCCACTGCTTCTGTACTGGTCGATTACCGACGATTAGGCCATGGGAAGGAAGGTAACGCCACCGGGGAAGGAAGATATCATTGGAGAACAGCCACCACCAGGAACCAGTCTACTTGTGATATGCATATAGGGAGGAAGCGGACAGTCAACAAATCAATCATCGATGCTCCTTTTAGAATCCAAGCAAAGAGGTTTGAATTCCAATTTTCAGCCTTTAACAATCTCATTCAGATTACTGAAAGAGGACGATGGAAATCTTCCCGATTTTGGATAAACTTGAATATGGTTCAGTGGTTGTCTTCTTGTTTTGAATATATTCTTCTAAATCCGGCGACTACCTACTGGGACCAAGACCTTACGGCAGGTAATCGAGCACTCCGCTTTACTCTGGACACAAATGCTTCTGGATTTTTCATTAGAATTGTTGAGAAATTCGAAAATGGTCATTCTATAATCTTTGTTCCTGAGGACTGTTGCAGGCATGGGTTTAGATTATTTCTTGCATTTCTCAATAAAGCATCTTATCTACTGCTAAACAATAAGGGCAATCTTAAATTTGCAACACAAAAGGTAGGTGATGCTACCACAGATCATTTACAGGCTGTGCCCAATGAACAAACTCTCATGTCTGGAAATCCTAAGCTGAATGTAGAAGCCAGAAACTCCAAGGTAGGGCCAAGAGCTTTAACAAATTTGGAAAAAAATGATACCATTTTGCAATCTCAAAAGGCCACCCTGGAGAAATCACATGTAGGAGACATGGGTAGCAACAAGGGAGGCTCAAGTGGTTCATTCGATGTGGCGCAAAAAGATTGTGAGGCTGCTAATCCTAGTGTGGCAGTAATTGGTTCTGAGGATATTTTTCAAACAACCACAGTGAGGAATTCACCTGTTGAAGGCATTGGTTTAGTGTTGGCAGTTTGCTCTTCGGTAATTCCTGGGACAGGGGTATTTCACGCCATTACAGGCTCAATTTGCAAAGGTAAGAATGACAAGGAGACTATTAGCCTAAACAAGGATGACAATGAGGGTTGTGTTGTGAATAAGCTGATAGAATCCTCTTCACAAGCATCTCGAAGCTCAACTATTGATAAGCTATCAATTCATGCATCTCCGTTCTATCCTAGAAATCCTTTGCCATATAACCTATCTTTGAAGGACATGAAAGCCCTAAACCTCAAGGCAGAGGATCTCGGAAAGGATTCGAGGATGACCAGCAGTTCATCAAAGAGTCCTGTTGGCATGTTGGGGACTAGAGTTGGTGACAGTGATAGTTATCATATATTGGAAGAGGAACAACAACTGTTGTTCGGGGAGAGGATCTCGGAAGAAGAAGTTGATTTAGTAGAGTCTGAGCAAATTCATGAAGATATTTCTTTTCAAATTGTGGAAGACTTTGAGCATAAAGGGAATGGAAAAAGCAAGAAAAAGAGAAAGAAAAAAGGAAATAAAAAGACTAAGTGAATTGTTGACTTCCTTTGGTCTTTCGTTCCAACTTCCCTTAGATTGTTGGTCTTTGGAATTGCTCTAGGATTTTATTGGCATCTTTTATCCAAGTTTTATTTGGGCTTTTATTACGGTACCTCATTGATGCAGATGCTGGAACATTGGTTTGGTTTAGTGATGTCTTGGGAACGTCCCTATCTGCTCTTCAAGGGGACTTCTTACCAATGGGAGCTATGGTTTTTGACAGTTTTTTGGCCGGGGGATCCTACAACAGCAAGTGGTTTCTGATAGGGACTACTTATCGGCAAGTTGGCCAAATCACAACCATGATATCTTGTTTTTTTAGCTTGGCCGGTTTTTTACTTATTTGATTGTGGCCTTTTTTTCATTTGTTTGTTTGTGGAAGCATCTTTTAGTATTTGGTCTCTTTTAGTTTGGCCTGTTTGTTGGGTTGGCCAACCCCCCTTGCACTACTTTTTCTTATTCACTTAATAAAAACCTCTTTCCTTAAATATATATATATATATATATATATATATATATATATCTGTGTGTGTGTGTAATATTATATTCCAAAATGTTTTATTTTACTATTTTAAAAATATATTTATTATCCGATTGTTTAATCCTACTCTTTAAATTGTCCAAAGTGTGTGACCCGTATAGGCAGTTATAAAGTTGAGCATAGTATTGGATTTGCACCATTACTATAAGAAATAAGCGGTATCTAGCAACACATTATTGCCCCCAGATTATACGTTAAGACGTTTGCACTGTCAAAACCTTTCCACGACTCAGACTCCGTTTAATTATATCCCTTTGTCTCAATGTCTAGACTTAATGCAATGGATTAATAAAATCCAGCTTGTATCCATTAAGCCATTCACTGATTTATCAAGTCTGACTGATAGGAACAAACTTCATAAAAGCATCTCAGCATGGCCATGCAATTTCCTCAGTCATAACTTATAAGTGGGCCCCCATAAGACATTAATCTCTTAAAAGAGTAGTGACAAATCCTATATACGTAATCTATGTTTCTGAATACGCGTTGCGGCATACCCAAAACAAAGCATATATACCATCTTTATTTCATATGGCTTAGAACAATGCATCAAAGCATGCAGGTTCACAAATGCAGAAAACATAATACTTCAAGTCGAAGGATAGTTACACCCGTGGTCGCGCTAAAGATGCTTAGATAATGAACTAAAAGTTTAAGCAACATCTTTAGGATGGGTCAGTCCGGCATCCTATTATCTCCAGATAATATCTACCCATGTGCGGATGCGAAAACACCGTCATTGACTATGAGACTAAGTCAAACATCCAACACACACTAGTCTCATCACATGAACTAAGGATATCCCACTCTTGTTAATAGTCGACTATGGACATTAAGATAAATATTTATTTCAAGATGTTAGTCTTGAAAAACACTATCTGATAAACATCTTTTAAATATAAATCTAGGAATATAATATTTGCTTACCTTAGCATGAGATGTGTAAACATATTATATCTGCCTATACATGATAGAATAACGATGAACAGTTGGCCATCAGGGCACAACTCCAACAACATCCATATATTTGAATCTTATGTTCGTAGAATCGTTACAGTTAAGTTATATGAAGCTCTATACGAATTATGCATTGTTTATGTTGTTTTGAGATTAGAAGACAATAACTGGTAAATGTATGATTATAGTGGTGTTAGATAATATTTGCAATGATATTGCACTGTGAACCTATTGATGATTATTGGTATGGAATTGATGTTGGTTTACTACTAAAAAACGAAACTGGTGCAGAAGCAGAAAATCGTCGCGTCAATCGGTAGGCGATACCACCGAGATGGTAGCGTGCTACCACCACAAACCGCGTCTGTCGTTCAGCTCTGCCAGTACCTGTCTTCGTTCAGTACCAAGGTACCGGACGGGCGGTAGGCCCTACCACCTTCTCGGTAGTGGGCTACCGTGACAGGCCTACCAGAAAGGCTAGTTGCTTCGGTTGGTACCCCGTACCATGGGGGCCGGTACCCAGGTACTATGGGGACGATACCCAGTATGGGACACGTACCGTCTGGTACCTGGTTTCGGGTTTGTGGGTTTGTGTTTCCGTCATGGATTGATTTTGAGATTTTTTATGTTGCATGACGGTAAACATAGGTGTTTACACCCAGTGTAAGGTCGTTGTTTGATCATGTTGGATATTTTGATAATTCATTGTTGATTTACGAATGTTGAACCATGAAACTGTTAATGGATGTTGAACATATCATCTAGAGGAACTCTAGGGAATGACATGAATGGATTAGTGGAAAGGTATTCCTTAAGTATAGTAGATTAGAGTCATGTGGTACCTGCTCGGTCCAATGGTTATCCGGGTAAAAATGTGCACACAGGGATCTATGAACTGTCGTTTTGATGAGGACAGGGATCTCACCCACCCAACGAGGAACACCCGAGTTGGTTTGAGCTTGACCTTTATTCCGAAGAAGAAGGTCATCACTCCCATATGCAAGTTGAGATCAGTTAAGCTTTAACCAAGAATACGTTATTAGCTAGCCAAGTATAAGAAAGAAGGTTAACGGGATCAAAGAGGAGTACTTATCATTCATACTACTGTGTGGTTAATTCTTATGAGTTATATTATTATGAATGTTTTCTGTGCATGATATCGTATGATGATATGGGCTAGTGAGGTCGTCTATGTGTATGACTGTATGTTAGATATTTCACACTTAGCTTCAATGCTGATCTGAGCGTGGAGCGTGTATTCTTTTACTGCACGTAGCTAATCTAGAAAATGGGGAACTTGGAGCTAATCCCGGAGAGCGATGATAATGAGGAGATGCACGTGTCCGTTTTTGAATATTTTGAATTATTATTCATTATTTAAATAACTTTTTTCAGAGGTTTGACTTTGAAGTTGTGTTTTAATAATGACTTTAGCTTCCGGAAAGGGAGAAATACGAAAATAGCACTTTAATAGCCTTATAATACTCAAAATAGCAATGCTATTAGTTTTTGGGATGAATTCCCGTTTTCGTCCTTAAATAAACTCCCAAAATTAGAATTATACTGCAATGTATACTCTTCACTGCCACATTTTAAATAAGTATGAAATTCTCTGCTCTTCACTGCCACAATATGTTTGAGATTGAATTTAGTGCCCTAACACATACAACACTGCCAAAAAAGAGCAGAATTCATTTTAAGTCATGACCTTTTATTTTTTATGGTAATTGTACACTGCAATATATACTCTCTACACTGCCACAATATGTACTTCCAAAAATTCAATGTCTGAAATACACTGCCACAATATATACACTTCCAAAAATTCAATGTCTGAAATACATTACCACAATATATACACTATCACAATATATCTACACTGCCACAAAACACAATAATTAAAACTGAAAATACAGCGAAATCCGAATAAAAGGATGCAAAACAAAATTTTAACATTTAATCTTCACACTGCCCACACCATAACACCTAATCTTCAGGCTGCCAAAATCACAATGCCTTTCAAAAGACCTAATTTTTCAAAAGGGACAAATATTTGGTATTTCAAAATTGATTTCACAACATACACCTAATCTTCAATACGAAGAAAACACAATAATTAATACTAAAAATACAGGGAAATCCGAATAAAAGGATGAAGGAATGAAAATTAAAAATTGAAGGAGAAGAGAAAATGATTAGCTACATCAAAGATTAGTATGGGAGAGAACCTGATGATTGCCGATGCTGATCGGCCAAGGAATCGTTGGCGAAGGACTGAGGACACATCATCACCGGCGAACGGAAGGAGAGACCGTGGAGTTCAATAGCGTGCATGAGAACGGAAGGAGATATTGGAATTGAATGCCGTAATTTTTAATGAAAAAAAAGAAAAAGGGGTAAAGGGTATGATAGGAAAGGATTGACACCATAAATTGCTAAATTTGTTAAAAACAATGAGTAGTACTAAATGCGTAATTTAGGGTGAGTTAGAGTGCTATGTAGGGTGATTTCTTTTCTGCAAAAGATTTTTATTATTACTCCGATAGATGTTACATGTTCTTTCTTTACGCTTTTAATTTCGAACTATACTTGTAACGACTTGAAAACCAGCTTAGTAGTTAGCTGTTATTTTAATAAAAATAAATATTTTATTTTCTTACCCAAAAATATGAACTATTCGTAAAGTTTACCATTTTATTTAAAAATTAAGTTTTTGGGTAGATCTCGAAAAATGACGACCAATGGTATATATTATGTTAAGTTTGGACTAAATGTAAAGCGTGATGAGTAAAATACACGTTACAGTTTAATAAATAAATATAAAGATCTTATGATAAAATAATAATAAATTTATTAACATTTCCAAAACCTATCATAACTACGAACCAAAAAGTCGTTCCAAACCCTATATATAAAGGGCACAGAGCATTACTCTGTATTTGGGGTTGCCGCAAGAAAGAACGAAGCCTCTGATCGAAATAATCTGCCGCCTCCAGGAAATTGACGACCGCCATAACCGCCGCTGTGATTTTTGGTGTCCTCCTCGTCAACTGGATTCATTGTTTTATTTGTATTCGTCAAATAATTGAGGTGAGTACGCTGATATCTAACACTATTTTATTCGTATAGGTTTTAAATTAACTCACGTTCGTAATCTCATACGATTGATTGTGTGATTTACTTGACTATATGAGGAATTATGATTTATTTATAACATATGATGCTATTGGAATTAATTGATGATTGAAGATCAGGTACGTTCTATTACTTAAACTTATGTGTTTTGTGTGTTAGTAATCTCTATAAAGCTTATATGTTATGAATGATGAGAATTGAATTTGAACCTGGTCTCTGCAATTTCTACTGCCGGTGTCTATGTCGAACAGTAAGACGTTATGAGTCGACGGTACCATGGTACCGCCTGGAGGTACCAAGGTATCGTGACAGGTATCGTACCAGCAGGTGTGATCCCCGTTATTGGTTTGTTTGTCTCGATTTGAATCCTTGACTGTTTTTGAGGTCTTGTGTGTTGTATGACGGTAAGTGAAAGGTGTTTACACGTGAGATTGGACCTCTATTTGTATTATATGATAGGTATTTAATTATTATTGCCCTCTTGGTATATTTTAAATATAATTTGGATTTGCTTTGTACACATAAAGTAGACTGAGTTGTGGATAACTTGTACCTGAATATTTAGATAGAATTAATGAGATAGGTTACCTAGAAGAACATTAGGACTACTTTGTGACAAATGAGATTGTAAGTTAACAATAGGTTGTAGAGACTTGTGGACTTAGTATTTAGTGACATTCAGATAAGTGTACGTACATGGAATCTGGGATTTGATCCGTAGGATTGGAAGTTCCATCCAACTGGCGCCGTAGGTACCAGGTTGACCAGAATCATGATAGTAGGTAGTAGTTCTGATGTCATAGAGAAGACTTGAGTCATGGCCGTAGGTAGTGGCTCTATAACTCATAAGATAAGAATGTGGATAATGAGGAATTGGGCCTTAGCCTAGAATATGTTATGAGGTAGTGTTTGATATGAGCCATTATAAAAACTTGAATGTTGAATTGATAACTTATGCAACTGAAAAATCGAGGTAAGTAACATGTTGTGTGAATTGTTGAAATTGTTGATATTATTAATGTTGTAGTTGTGTGCATGATATTTTATGAAATTATGAGCTAGTGAGATCGTCTATATGATATTTCTCACTTAGCTTCAATGCTAAGCGTGTAGCCCTTTTCCTCTTTGCTACACGCAGGTAACAGGAATGACGAATAAGGAAATCATCCTGGAGGGAAGTGAGGAATTCTTGATATAGTAACCATGGTGAGGGGAATCGCAGCGATAATGGCGAACTGAGAAGAGGAGGTTCCGACATGGGCAACATAAAGGCTTGGTTCGACACATTCCATTTCATTGTACACAATAATGGATTCGTCCACCAGGCCAAAAGAGGTACCCGATTGAGAATCACGATCAGATGGAGAAGACATTAGGAAAACTGGGAGGAAATGACTAACCTCTGAACAATTAGAAATGAAGGTCACGACACTACACGGTTTGAAAAATAAAAAAATTGGAGGAAATTTAGGGCAAAGTGCAAGAACGAAGGCAAAAATCTTTCTTTTATTAGTTACGGTCTGGGTCAGCCTGAAGTTAGGCAAAACGCACTTCAAATTTTAGACACATATTGGTGACGTGGATAAACCAACACCAAAAAAATTGAATCACCATCATGGGAAAGTACAAGGATTGAAGAGTGGCGGAACAATTGAATTGTGATAACGATACAAAGCCCAAAATAATGATTGCATTTAAAAAATTCAAAACTTAACACTTGGCATTTTGTACTCCAGCCACAATAGTACACTTCGCACTGTCAATCCTCGTCTACACTCTCAAAATAGGGGGACTACTCATACTCAGCTAAAAATTTGTTTTTTTACTTAATTTAAAATTGAACTTGGCAACTAAGCAAAAAGGGCTCCCCATCTTCAGGCAAGCTACTTCCGCCTGGCCTCGTTGCGCTAGGCCTAGGAAATGAGGGACTCATCCTAGATACCCTGGATAAGGTGGTATCTAGCCCAATCAATAACTCAAAGCCAAACTAGGAAGCCCAAGACGCGAGATCGCACCAATACGATAATACTTGATGTCTACACTCTACCCCATCTCTCGGCTTCAGCACTTGGCAAAACAGTCCGCCACATCCCAAGACCTCGAGAATAGCGTCTCCACACTCATCACTGTCCAGTTTGGCGCCTAACCTCAGAACTTAAATAGAGGCACCTTAAACATAATAAAAGGTCGGCCTCTTGAAGAACACTCTGCTCAAATGCATACTATACGAAAGGTTTAAGACTTCGAAGATTTCAAGAAATTGTAACGCCCCGAAATTAGGCCTATCAGAATTAATTAATTGATAATTAATTAATTATTGAGAAGGACCCAAAAATAAGTGATTTATAAAGTTTGTCAATAAATAATGAAAATTATAACATTATATAGAGTTTGACTGTCTGACCCCAACGGCTCAATCGATTTCAATTTGGAGAAAGTTGGACCAAAAAGTGTACCCCGACTAGGACCAAATATTAGTCCCAATCAGGGACTACGTACCAAACGGCGCCCTGTTCAATTAAGCCGATTCCAAAATCCGAATCACCGTGCAATCAAGGAAGCTGCAAACTCCGTGTCTTCTTCCTCCTTCACTGGCCTATTTAAGGAGAGCCTATTCTCCCATTTCTCCACCAAAATCTTTAATTCTTCATCCTATTCCTTTGTTCTGAGAGAGGAGAATACACTGTTGCTGTCAGCTTTGTGAGAGGTCGCCGGAGCAGTGAGATAGAGTCGCCGGAAGTTTCGCCGGAAAATCTTCAAAACCTCCATTACGCTTCGAGGTAAGCCCGTAGATATATCTAATGACTAGAATGTTCATATAGGTCGTTTCTACGTTCATAAATGGTCATTTGGTTGAGTTTTGTGTTTGACACGCTTTAAGAACTAAGAATCATAAACCTTGAATTTGATGTTAAAACTATGAATTAATGATACCTAAATGATCTATGAACATTGGAGAACATTTCTATATAGTTTAATTGAAGTTTGGTGATTAAAAATGGAATTCCCGAAAATAAACCCGAGGTAGAAGACGNAATGTTCATATAGGTCGTTTCTACGTTCATAAATGGTCATTTGGTTGAGTTTTGTGTTTGACACGCTTTAAGAACTAAGAATCATAAACCTTGAATTTGATGTTAAAACTATGAATTAATGATACCTAAATGATCTATGAACATTGGAGAACATTTCTATATAGTTTAATTGAAGTTTGGTGATTAAAAATGGAATTCCCGAAAATAAACCCGAGGTAGAAGACGATGAACAGTACTCGGTAACAAACTACCGCCGGAACAGTAGCTAGGTACCGTCCAAACGGTACCCACCTGCCACCGGGACGGTAGGGTTGCTACCATCTCCACTGAGTTCCTCTGGCGGTACCTGTCCACCGGCGGTATACCCTACTGTCGGCACGGTACCAAGGTACCGTTAACCGGTACCGAGGTACTGTGAAGGGTACCGTCCGACCTAATACCTTTTCCAGAAAATCCAATTTTTGAACCATAAAATCCTATTTTTAATACCAATTGATTATGATTATTATAAAAATGATTTTTCATATTAAAAATAATGTTTTTTTAATAAATTAAACATTATGTGATGCATGACGGTAAGTTCGGGTGTTAACACTCGAGACTAGGCCGCTATTTGTTATTAAATGTTATGTTGAATGATCATTATGATAAATAATTGTTATGAATGATAAACCTATTGATTATAATGGTTATTGATGACTTAATCATAATTAAAAATGGACACATTGATAATCATAATGAGAATGTATTGTTAAGGAGATCTAGAACAACTCTAAGATATACCCATAATGAAATTGATGTTGAAAGGTATCTAGAAGAACTCTAAGATATACCTAATTAAGTTAGGCCTTGCGGGTATGATTCCCGGTGGCTAGGGTTAAAACGTACGTACGGGATCCAAGCACCAAACTTGAGTACCTACTCGTTTGGGGGTACCACCCAACCCAACAGTGAAGGTAAGTTTAAGATTTGAAAACTCTTTTTAAAAATATATCTTAAACTAGGCCTAGCTTAAGGATTAGGATATCTTGAACTAGAATCAGTTTAAGAATGGAATTGGCCTTAGACTAAGTATAGTTTAAGGATATTGTTAAATATGAATGTTGAGATATTGAAATAAAAATATTGAAAATATCATGAATGAATTATATATTGTGTGCATGATATCAAATGGTTATTTGTGAATTGAGAATCAATTTATGTGAATGTTCGACGCTTTAGATATGCTTACTCAGCTTCATCGCTGAGCGTGTAGTATATTTTATTTGCTACACGCATGTAGGCAGAATGAATGATTGGCATGTACCTGGCAGCGGAAGGGGCGAGACTGTCGTGGTGGAATTTGTGAATTTAAAATAAATAATTGTGTTGTTATTAAACATGGTTTAAATTGCTTCCGCACTATTGTTAAACACTCCGTATTTTGTTACAATTATGTATTAAATAATATTTATGATGAATAAAAGTATTTGAAATGTTTTAAATATTACGATTTCCAAATTAATACTTTAGTCCGAAAGGGGCTGCAGACCTGGACGGATTAAGGTGTTACAATTTGGTATCAGAGCAAATGGTTTTAAAACCGATCTTCGGATCAAAATTTGTTTAAATATATATATATATATATATATATATATATATATATATATATATATATATATATATATATATATATATATATATTTCGGCCTTAAAAAAATCAATCGAATCCACGACTCTCGCATGCCTCTGCTCCAGGAAGGTAATAAAAAAAATTCGAGTATTGAAATTGACTGTATTTAATTTCATAGATGTCAACTGTTAATTCGGAAATGATATCAAGTGTTGATTCAAGTCGCACTTTCGTACTTGGTAAAAGACGAAAGAACAAACGAAATGTGTATGACTCGTTGATACGTTACCAACGTGCACATCGCTTCGCAAGAATAATGAAACGAAAGATTTATCTGCGCCGCAAGGCTGCATGGGAATGAGACGACCCGGAAGAAACTTTTAGCGTAGACTCTGCCAACAGTGTATGTGGATCGGGCGTGGAAGATCCATCTGAAAATTCGTCCGATCCAATCAAACGAACACAGACGCTTAGAAAATTATCTTGTTGTTCGTTTCAAATCCATTGATTGTATCAACTGTTGTAATCTTTTGCAATTCCTGTCTTAAACTCAACTACTGAATAAAGAATCCTAATAAAGGAATTTCTGTTATTGTAGACAGAGTCAAGAATCTGCCCACGGACAAGGCAACAACAATGAACACGTCAGTGTTCATACTGAAGCATCTAGCTTCATCCCTCCCATCCAAAATGAACCCGTCAATCAACAAAATGTTGGGAATAACCCGAATGCTAGTGGTCAACCCGACCTTGTAATTCCGGCTTTTTTGGCTGACGTGTTACAACAAATAGCCAACGCGCCAATGTTTCAACCACCTCCACCACCGCCACCTTGAGTGATAACCTACAAAACGCTAAGGGATAACGGTGCAGAATTATTCCTTGAGGATCGCATCGGTGAACCCCAAATTGCGTGGGACTGGATCGAGCAGACTGCTCAAGTGTTGGAGGATCTCAACGTACCCATGGACAACTACGCTCGACTAGCTTCTCAACTGCTGCGCAAGGAAGCCTACGAGTGGTGGAAGAGGACCGATGAGAGTGCGGGAACCCCTAAGCCGTGGACATGGGCACATTTCGAATGGGCATTCAAGTAAGAATATATTCCGAAACGTTTTAGCGAGGAAAAACGTAAGGAATTTGTTGAACTGGAACAGGGAAACATGACACTCCCTGAATACCGTCAGAAGTTCACCAAACTTGCAAAGTTTGCGCCAACCTTGATGAGTACCCCAACCGATCGCATTGAGGAGTTCAGGACGAAACTTCGACCTGACCTCAGGTCACGTGTGTCCGTCCTAACCACCATGGATTTCGCAGAGGCTATACGAGATCATAGCCAGAGTAGATAGTGACCTGAGTGCTTGCATAGAGTATCTAAAGACAAACAATGCTGGCTCAAGCACTCACCGTCCCATTAACTCTGCCTCAAAAGGAAAAAGGCCCTTCCAAGAATCTAGCAGTTCACATTTCTCTAAAAAAGGAAAATCTGCACAAACCCAGTCAATGACATCCGGTAATAGGACTAAGGGGTGGAAAAATCCACAGTGCGACAAATGCGGAAGACACCACCCTGGGGAATGTTGGCTTACACAAGGGTTATGCCTCGGCTGTGGAAAACAAGGACATTTCAAAAAGGAGTGCCCTACAATTCCTGGAGAACCGCTTCCACCTGCCCCCGTTGCTAGCCAGTCTGCATCAGCACGACCCGCACCAAGTCAACGGTCAACTGCAGGATCTAATCCTGCCAAAAGTCGAAACCAACAGCAAGGACGAGCTCCTGCCCGTACCTATGCAATGAAAGCTCGAGCTGAGGATTCAGGGTATGTTTTCCTTGTTTGATACTGTCATGCCTGTGTTGATAGACCCTGGATCAACGTTGTCTTATATCTGTGTACATATGCCTGAAAAAGCTGACATAATGAAAGAACAATTAGAACAACCTATACTAGTGTCTAACCCGTTAGGACATAGTATGAGGTTAGATCATGTGTATCAAGACTGTCCATTGATTGTTGAAGGACATCAATTCTCTGCCAATCTTGTCGAATTACCGTACAAAGAATTTGACATCATCCTCGGAATGGATAGGCTCACCAAACACCAAGCAGTTATCGATTGCCGACAACGAACGATTCAACTAAATTCTGGAGAGGGAAAGTCTATAGAGGTGAAAGAGAAGCTAACACCTAAATCCAGTGAGTTCATCTCGTACATACACGCTAGGCGCCTCATTCGGAAGAAATGTGAAGCTTATCTGTGTAACGTACGTGACACACGAAAGGAAACTCCTGAGTTGAAAGACATACCAACAATATGTGGTTTTCCTGACGTATTTCCTGACGAACTTCCTGGTATACCATCCTCCAGAGAAGTAGAATTTTCTATCGACCTTGTTCCTGGAACAGGACCGATATCTGCAACCCCCTATCGCATGGCTCCTGCTGAAATGAAAGAGTTGAAGGCTCAACTACAAGAACTGCTCGATAAAAGATTCATACGTCCAAGTGTTTCCCCTTGGGGAGCACCCGTCCTATTTGTCAAAAAGAAAGACAGTTCGATGAGACTCTGCATCGATTACCGTCAATTAAACAAAGTCACAATCAAAAAATCGATATCGTTTACCTCGTATCGATGACTTATTTGATCAGCTTAGAGGATCTACTGTATTCTCTAAGATTGACTTACGGTCAAGATACCATCAAATCCCTGTAAAGAAAGAGGACATCCCAAAGACTGTGTTTCGTACTCGTTATGGTCATTATAAGTTTACGGTAATGCCCTTTGGTTTGACCAATGCTCCTGCAGTATTCATGGATCTCATGAATAGTGTATTCCGACCCTATCTTGATCAATTCGTAGTTGTGTTCATCGAAGACATTCTTGTATATTCAAAGAATCGGGAGGACCATGCAAAACATCTGGAGATAGTACTCAGTGTACTACGAGAGCACAAACTTTATGCAAAGTTATCCAAGTGTGAATTTTGGCTTGATGAAGTCACGTTCCTTGGTCATGTGATTTCGAAAGAAGGTGTTAAAGTGGACACTAGTAAAATATCTGCCATCACCGATTGGAAGGTTCCAAGGAATGTTCGTGAAGTGAGAAGCTTTCTAAGATTAGCTGGATACTATCGACGATTTGTTAAAGGCTTTTCCTCGATCGCAACTCCACTTAACAAACTTCTAAGAAAAGATGTGAAATTCGTATGGACTGATGCTTGTCAGCAAAGTTTTGAGAAACTAAAGAAATGTCTGACAGAAGTACCTGTACTCACACAACCAGTACCAGGTGTAGACTACACGATCTTTAGTGACGCATCTCATAATGGCTTGGGATGTGTACTCATGCAAGACGGAAAAGTCGTGGCATACGCATCAAGACAATTGAAGCCTCACGAATGTAACTATCCTACTCACGATCTTGAGTTAGCAGCAGTTGTATTTGCTCTAAAGATATGGCGTCATTATCTCTTTGGAGAGACGACATATATTCACACAGACCACAAAAGTCTGAAAGATCTGCTAACTGAAAAAGAATTGAACCTGAGGCAGAGAAGATGGTTGGAATTGATCAAAGACTACGACTGTTACATCGACTATCACCCTGGTAAGGCTAACGTAGTAGCTGACGCACTAAGCTGAAAGATGATAGCCGAACTCCGAATCCAGCCTACTCTTGAGAACGAAATTCACGCCGCACAAAAGCGTGACGACTACTGTTTGAAGACTTGTGAACTTGTCTCTAAGGGGGAGAGACAAGATTTCACTGTGAATAATGGAATTTTATTCTACAAGAATCGTTTGGTAGTTCCTAGTGGCGAAGTGAAGAAACGTTTAATGCGTGAATCTCACGAAACCACTTATACCATGCATCCTGGTAGTAATAAAATGTTCCAAGATCTGAAGAAGACATATTGGTGGCCCACAATGAAGCGGGAAATTTCTGAATTTACAACACGATGTCTGACGTGTCAACAAGTCAAGGCTGAACACCAAGTGCCAAGTGGGTTGTTACATCCACCTACTATCCTTGAATGGAAGTGGGAACGAATTACGATGGACTTTGTGATCGGACTTCCATTATCAGCTAAGAAAAATTACGCTGTCTGGGTAATTGTTGATCGATTAACCAAGTCATCTCATTTTATCCCAATTCGACGTGATATGTCTTTGAAGAAATTGGCAGAATTGTACATCCGTGAGATCGTAAGGTTACATGGTATACCTTTTTCTATCATTTCTGATCGTGACCCGCGATTCACGTCGAATTCTGGAAGAGTTTGCAGAAAGCCTTAGGTACTAAACTTAACTTTAGTACGTCATTTCATCCTCAAACTGACGGACAATCTGAAAGGACAATTCAAATTCTGGAAAATATGATGAGGGCATGTGTAATAGATTTTGGAAGCAACAGGGAACAATACTTACCATTAATGGAATTTGCTTATAACAATAGTTATCAAGCGAGTATCCAAATGGCCCCGTATGAAGCTCTGTATGGGAGACGTTGTAGAACCCCAGTATGCTGGACAGAATTGAGCGAACAAAAGCTTGAAGGACCCGACCTTGTTCGAGAAACTGAAGAAAAGGTCCGTTTGATCAGAGAAAGGCTACAAGTGGCTTCTGACCGACAGAAATCTTATGCCGACTTGAAATGTCGCGAAATCGAATACAATGTTGATGACAAAGTGTTTCTGAAAGTCTCACCGTGGAAGAAAGTGTTACGTTTCGGTAGGAAGGGAAAACTAAGTCCGAGATATATTGGACCCTATCGAATCACTGAACGTGTGGGTCCAGTAGCCTATCGGTTAGAACTTCCACCAGAACTGAACAAAATCCATGACGTATTCCATGTATCGATGTTGAAAAGATACCGTTCCGATCCATCGCATATCTTGACTGAGGGAATCGTAACTCTTGACGAACAATTGACTTACGAGGAAGAACCTGTACAAATTCTGGCACGTGAGGTCAAACAATTGAGAAACAAATCCGTACCTCTAGTCAAAGTACTATGGAAGAATCACTCGACTAAAGAGGCGACATGGGAAACCGAAGAGTCAATGAGGACACAATATCCGAACCTCTTCAATCAATGAACCAGGTAATTTCGAGGACGAAATTATTTTAAGGGGGAGAGAAATGTAACGCCCCGAAATTAGGCCTATCAGAATTAATTAATTGATAATTAATTAATTACTGAGAAGGACCCAAAAATAAGTGATTTATAAAGTTTGTCAATAAATAATGAAAATTATAACATTATGTAGAGTTTGACTGTCTGACCCCAACGGCTCAATCGGATTTCAATTTGGAGAAAGTTGGACCAAAAAGTGTACCCCGACTGGGACCAAATATTAGTCCCAATCAGGGACTACGTACCAAACGGAGCCTATTCAATTAAGCCGATTCCAAAATCCGAATCACCGTGCAATCAAGGAAGCTGCAAACTCCCTATCTTCTTCCTCCTTCACTGGCCTATTTAAGGAGAGCCAATTCTCCCATTTCTCCACCAAAATCTTTAATTCTTCATCATATTCCTTTGTTCTGAGAGAGGAGAATACACTGGTGCTGTCAGCTTTGTGAGAGGTCGCCGGAGCAGTGAGATAGAGTCCCTGGAAGTTTCGCCAGAAAATCTTTAAAACCTCCATTACGCTTCGAGGTAAGCCCGTAGATATATCTAATAACTAGAATGTTCATATAGGTCGTTTCTACGTTCATAAATGGTCATTTGGTTGAGTTTTGTGTTTGACACGCTTTAAGAACTAAGAATCATAAACCTTGAATTTGATGTTAAAACTATGAATTAATGATACCTAAATGATCTATGAACATTGGAGAACATTTCTATATAGTTTAATTGAAGTTTGGTGATTAAAAATGGAATTCCCGAAAATAAACCCGAGGTAGAAGACGATGAATAGTACTCGGTAACAAACTACCGCCGGAACGGTAGCTAGGTACCGTCCAAACGGTACCCACCTGCCGCCAGGATGGTAGGGTTGCTACCGTCTCCACTGAGTTCCTCTGGCGGTACCTGTCCACCGGCGGTATACCCTACCGTCGGCACCGTACCAAGGTACCGTTAACCGGTACCGAGGTACCGTGAAGGGTACCGTCCGACCTGATATCTTTTCTTGAAAATTCGATTTTTGAACCATAAAATCCTATTTTTAATACCAATTGATTATGATTATTATAAAAATGATTTTTCATATTAAAAATAATGTTTTTTTAATAAATTAAACATTATGTGATGCATGACGGTAAGTTCGGGTGTTAACACCCGAGACTAGGCCGCTATTTGTTATTAAATGTTATGTTGAATGATGAATGATAAATAATTGTTATGAATGATTATGAATGATAAACCTACTGATTATAATGGTTATTGATGACTTAATCATAATTAGAAATGGACATATTGATAATCATAATGAGAATGTATTGTTAAGAGTATCTAGAACAACTCTAAGATATATCTATAATGAAATTGATGTTGAAAGGTATCTAAAAGAACTCTAAGATATACCTAATTAAGTTAGGCCTTGCGGGTATGATTCCCGGTGGCTAGGGTTAAAATTTACGTACGGGATCCAAGAACCAAACTTGAGTACCTACTCGTTTGGGGGTACCACCCAACCCAACAGTGAACACTACGCGGTCGGTTTTTGGTTGACCTTAAGCGAAGGTAAGTTTAAGATTTGAAAACTCTTTTTAAAAACATATCTTAAACTAGGCCTAGCTTAAGGATTAGGATATCTTGAACTGGAATCAGTTTAAGAATGGAATTGGCCTTAGACTAAGTATAGTTTAAGGATATTGTTAAATATGAATGTTGAGATATTGAAATAAAAATATTGAAAATATCATGAATGAATTATATATTGTGTGAATGATATCAAATGGTTATTTGTGAATTGAGATTCAATTTATGTGAATGTTCGACGCTTTAGATATGCTTACTCAGCTTCATCGCTGAGCGTGTAGTATGTTTTACTCCCTCCGTCCCTCAGTTTTTGTCCACTTTCATTTTTGCACACCATCCAATGCACTTCTTTAATCCATTTTATTTTGTAATTTGTATATTAAAAAATTATAGAAATTATATATTAATAATCTATATGTTAAGACAAATCAAACAAGATCACACATGACTATATTTAGACTTACACATTGAGAGAATTTGATGAGTCAAAGTGCTTAGATGAACAGTTTCAAAAGTCAAAAGTGGACAAAAACTGGGGGACGGAGGGAGTATTTGCTACACGCAGGTAGGCAGAATGAATGATTGGCATGTACCTGGCAGCGGAAGGGGTGAGAGTGTCGTGGTGGAATTTGTGAATTTAAAATAAATAATTGTGTTGTTATTAAATATGGTTTAAATTGCTTCCGCACTATTGTTAAACAATTCGTATTTTGTTACAATTATGTATTAAATAATATTTATGATGAATAAAAGTATTTAAAATGTTTTAAATATTACGATTTCTAAATTAATACTTTAGTCCAAAAGGGGCCGCAGACCTGGACGGATTAGGGTGTTACAGCATAAGATTCCTAAACATTGATGTCCGATTCATCAGGCCCACTCGTAGACACCATACACATGCATATTGTGTTTGTACAATCAATGTACAATTATAATACATACACCTGTTGTACGTAGAGTTAGGTTCATCTAGCAAATGTTCATTTTAAATAATTTAATATTTATCTTTTCAATAAAAAACTAAACTTTTATTTTCAACTGTAGTGTTCACTCTGAAGCCTACTCTGGATACTGTCCATTCTTAAATAACTCCCTCGATAGGAGTTAAAAACTATGAAAATACCAAAATAGAAGTTATAAGTCTTTTAAGATCAAAATAGGAGTTTACACTCGAATTGTTACACTACCGCACTCACCATATTGTCACATTGTAACTGTCACACTATCACCGCCACACTGCCATCCGTTGCTGCCGGCCACCAAAGTGTCGCCACAGATGATTGTCGGTTGACTGATCACACTAACATATTAAACTGTCAACACTTCTTCATCACACTGTCAGTGCGTACTCTTATTTTACACTGCCATTGTACTCTTATTTTGGTCTTAAAAGATATATGACTCATTATTTGGTATTTTCATACTTTTTTTACTCCTATCTAGGGAGATTTTTTAAATTTACAAGTTTGTAATGATGAGGAAAGAGGAAGGTACATTCCGCTAGGGTAGATTCATTGTTTTAGAGTAGGGGGCCATTATTCCTAACTAATTTTTGGGTCTAAGGTAATTTAGTTTAGACTTTAAGTACATTGGCAGCGAATTAGAACTGAGGAAACCCCAGTTAAAATGTTTTTCATTGTATACAATTAATTTTTTATAAAAGAAAAATTCACCTTGTCTATTAAAAAATTCACATCCAATAAATATTTAACATAAAACCCGTTACTTTTATTTCTCATTTTTAATTGCCCATTTAAAAAAATTTTGGGAGACGTTGCACTCGGACCCCCGACTATAAATGCCCCCAACTATTTGAATTCTTGGATCCACCACTGCATCCAGCTGTACCATACGAAAACGCACTAACGGCCCAAAATAGAAGAATCTTGAAAGTTGTGAAATTTTGGTATATGATTTAAAGTTTACACAAAATGAAATAATGCTAGAATTCGTAAATTCATGAAATTTTCACATTGTTTGTATGATAAGAAAAGGAAGGAAAGAAAATACAAGGTGAGAAAACATGTATTCCAAAGCATTTTTATTGTTTGTTTTGGTGAGACAATGAGGCAGGAGAGAATACAACCTGAAAAGTTTTCTCTCTAATATGGAGTAAGTGAGATATCTCTATCTTGCAAAATAATCACAACTTTACACGCTATTTCAAAAATAATACTGTGATGCATAATAATATCAACCTTACTAGAATTTAAGAGTTTTTGCTCGCTGATAAGATGCTAACGAATGGTTAACAAATGCTTGTTTTGCAAAACAAAATCAAAGCAAAACAGATTAATTTTGATGTTTTTTTAAATTTTTTGTTTTTTTAATTCTTTCTTAAATTTTAAAATGCATTTATACTTTCATCATTTCTTTTTATTTTTTTAAAGATAAAACATTAAAAAAATAAATAAATATAAAAAGATAACGAAATTGAAAAATAACTACACCATACAAAACTAATGAAATAAAAAGATAATCTATAAAAAAATTCTCAAAAATTAGGCAACATAAATAATATTAATGTATTACTTTCTCCCGTTGGAAAAAATGAGAACAAAAATATAAAAAAAACAAATTAAAAAATATTTTCTTATTAAAACCCTAAAAATTAGAAATAAAAAATTATTTTCTTAAATGTAATTTTATTTTAGTTCTTTCTTAATAAGAAAAGTAATTTCTTTATTTCTGTAGGGTTTTATTAAGAAAATCTTTTTTTTATTTTTATTTTCATATTTGACCAAGAGGAAGAAATAATACATTAATCCTTCATATAATGCGTAAAATGTTTCTATTCCTTACCGTTTTGAAATCAAGTTTTATTGATTACCTTATTTATTTCATTAATTTTGTATGATTTTACTTATATATATATATATATATATATATATATATCTCATTTTTATTTTTTTTATTTTTTCTAAGGTACTACTAATCTTAGAAAAAATGATAAAGATAGAAAGTCATTTTAAAATTTTAGGGGAAAATAAAAAAAATTCAAAAAAATAATCTCAATTTTTGTTTTATTACGCAAAACAGATCTTTTCAGTTAACCAGTCATTAGCTATCTAAAAATTTGCAAATTACTAAAATTAGAATTATGTATCTCAATAAAAGATATGAAATTATTTTTAAAACGTCATCTTCTTTCTTCATTTTCTCACTTCATTCAAGGTTAGGGATCGATAAACAAATCAATGTGTTGCTTCAACTTGCGGCGCCCTTTGACACGCGGTTGCAGAGGAATGCTTGCTTCCAGGTTTCTCCTCAGGTACGTGTGGCATCACATCCATTTTCTTATCCAGTGTAATTTTGAAAACCCTAGTTTTAATCCATTCGAAGAATTACAAAGGAAAATTGAAAAGTGTAGATACAGAATATAAATTTTAGCCATGATTCCGAGTTCAATTTTCTTATCAGAGCCAATCCTGCTTTGCTAGTCGGCAAGACTTGCGTACGATCAAGGCACCTACCATTTTTACTGGTATGTTAATTTCTCTGTCATGCATTGTAGCGATATCTGCGATCAAGAGCGATTCCAGCTATAGTTTCTGTTATACACTTCTTGTTTTTCATGGAAAAGAGGATAAATTGGTCCCGTTTGGCAACATCTTCCGTTTTAGCTTTAATATTTTAAAAAAACTAATAAATTGTTTAGTTTTAGCATTTCCAAAGTTAATCTAGACGATTAAAAAATTATCCAAATCACTAACAGTACACTAATTGAAAACCTTGTTATCTATTAAGGCCTTTGTAATTCACCAACATATAGTACTCCCTCTTGGAAATTTTTTATGCTTGTTTTACTTTTTATATACAGAGTATTTTTTTTAGGTTTCTCTATAGTGTGCTAGATTGCACCCATTATGGTGCATTTAATACCCTCTTTTGTTGTGTCTTTTAATTGAAGTATACTACCAACAAACCAATATATTTGGAAGTATACTACCAAAAGTTGTCATTTACCGGAGTAATATATTGGGCTAATTACATTCATTGAAGTACTACCATAAAAATAAAAGAAAAGTTACTCACTCCATTTTGAAAGTGGCCGCTTTTAGTTTTTCATGCTTTACTTTGACTATCTATGTACCAAATTGTAGAATAAGTTAAAATAAAAAATTATACCCAAATATTTGTATTGCAAAATACTTCTAATACAAAGTATATTATTTTAAGAATATTATTCGGTAATATTATTTAAGAGATATTTTTGGTCAGATGTTCTGCATGGAGTGTAAAATGAAAAGTTAAAAAAGAATGCAGGGAGTAAAACACCACATTACCACAACAATCTATGACCAAAAAAATAAATAAAAACTCTGCAAATATCAGTTCATGGCCTGCAAGCAACATAATTTATCAGAAAAACAGATCAAATTTTTACAATTTGTCAATACAAGATACCACAACAATAAACATATGAACAATTGATAGCAACATCTAAAATTTTATAGAAATAACTTGATTGATACTCTCCGATCTTCCGGTTGTAGTCGTTCTTCCAAAATAACGATGACGGAGATAACCGGGCACCCAATATCTCATAGAAACCACACACATGTTTGTTGGTGTGCGCCGATGTTGTACTTACCTATTAGCAATGACCATTGGTTTTTTTTATAGTGTGCTAGATTGCACCCATTAAGGTGCATTTAATGCTCTCTTTTATTGTGTCTTTTAATTGAAGTATTCTACCAATAAACCAATATATTTGGAAGTATACTACCAAAAGTTGTGATTTAATATATTGGGCTAATTACATTAATTGAAGTATACTACCAAAAAAAGAAAATAAAAGTTACTCACTCCATTTTGAAAGTGGCCGCTTTAGTTTTTCATGTTCTAATTTGACTATCTATGTACCAAATTGTAGAATGAGTTAAAATATAATATACTGAAATATTTGTATTGCAAAATACTTTTAATACAGAGTATATTAATTTTAAAATATTTTTCGGTAATATAATTTAAGAGATATTTTTGGTCGGATGTTCTGCACGTAGTGTAAAATGAATAGTTAAAAAAAGAATGGAGGGAGCAAAACACCCATTACCACAATAATCTATAACCAAAAATATAAAACTTATCGAATATCAGTGCTGCATGCAACATAATTTATCAGAAAATCAGATCAAAGTTTCATAATTTGTCAATACAAGATACAACAACAATAAACATATGAACAATTGATAGCAACATCTAAAATTTCTTAATGTAACTTGATTGATACTCTCCGATCCTTCGGTTGTAGTCATTCCTCCAAAATAGCGATGACGGAGATAACCGGGCTCCCAATATCTCATATAAACCACACACATGTTTGTTGGTGTGCGCCTATGTTGTCCTTACCTATTAGCATTGTACCTCAAATTCTTCAAAACTGTCTAACTTGTATAACCCATATAAATCAGAAAACCATTTCGCGTATAGATCGCAGAGGGTAGAACTGAACCAACCACTAAATTTAGCAGTAGTGAGCCAAATACGTCATGCATGCTTTGTAGTTTGCATCTCTTTCAATATAGCTTGGGTCATCCATGGATCTTGATCCGTTAAAATCGTTTAAGGAGCTTCACCAGTCTCTCCTCTTAGTTCATTTTGTCTTCCCATTTTCCTTTCCTTCCACTTTTCTTTTTTTTTTTTCTCTAACCAAATAAGAAAAATCATTTTCCATCTCATTTTCTTTTTGTTTTTTCCATTTCAAATTCCACAAACCAAACATAATGTAAAAGCATAGTGAAAGCTGGAATTTTTACCTTTTAAATCCTTACAAAACTGCAATAGTTCCATAATATCATACTCACTCTCTCTTCTACAAACTTTACTCAAAAATTTGTAAATCTCCTTAGCTAGAAAGGGAAGATGACCATGTTTAACAACCCATTCAAGTTCCATGACACGTATAATGTGCCTAACAGAAAGACCACCTTCTTTGTACAACAAGATACATTCTTCATCCTCCTTATCATAGTGTGATTTATAAGATGAACATGTTTAACAACCCATTCAAGTTCCATGACACGTATAATGTGCCTAACAGAAAGACCACCTTCTTTGTACAACAAGATACATTCTTCATCCTCCTTATCATAGTGTGATTTATAGGATGAAAGCTAACTTCTTCCACAGACAAAAGTGTGGTTATGATCCTCTTCAAATGTTACTACTTGCCACTATAGAAAAGTTCAAAAGATTTCTACACAATCAGCATGTGAGCTTTGCACTCACATTTAGTTGATGCTCTATTCCTATGTTCTTTGGTTAGATCAACTATTTTTTCTCATGGCCTTCCAGGACAGCTACACACAAAATCACACCATTTTCATTCTCTTTGTGCATTGAGAACAAATATGCTCTTTCGACATGAATACCCATCTTTTTGCATGCTTTTTATTAAAGACAAAAGCCTCTTCCTCACCGATAAAACACTAACCAATAAATGGCTTGAAATCATCTTCCATAAACTCTTCTTGAATTGCATTTTATCAAGGTCACCCTAAAAAGAGTATTCAACTTCAACAATAGTATTCCACCTATTACCAAATTAAACACAATTATAACAAAATTCCTCCACAAAACTTAACCATAATATTACAAGAAAGAAGCTACTCACTAGAAAATTAATGAATGATGAATGAAAACAAACAGTAGAAAAACAGGCGCGCAACTCATTTTTTTAACTACATTAGAAATACAGTAGCCACTCACTTTATTTTTTGCAGTTTGTCAAACAGTAGGTGTGAAACATAAATCAGAATGAATTCTTTAAGTCGGATAGATCTAACAACAACAACCCAGTTGGATCCCACTAGAGTAGGGTTTGGGGAGGGTGTGTGTATGCAGACCTTGCCCATACTCGAAAGTAGAGATCTTGTTTCCAAGAGACCCCTGGCTCAAGCATCACAAATAATATAAGATGACAAAAGACACATAGATCTAATGGTTCTTAATTCTCAAATACAACAAACCATAGAACGTGAAAAATGAAACAAAGAGAAGAAAAGAAATATCAGTACAAGGGGAAGATGATGTTGAACAATTTCTATATTGGTTTCTCACCGCCTCACCGGTGTAGGAGGCCGTGACTACTTGGAGACCGGTTAGCTGGAAATAAGAGTAGATATAAGGCGTGTTTGAATGGGGGTGAAATATTTCCCCAGAAAATTTCCACTCTATTCTCTTGTGTTTGACAAGGGCAGAATTCATTTTCTCATTCTCGCTCATTCTTATAGAATATAACTATAATGAAAATTTTATGGGAAAATTGAATGAAAAAATTCTGGGAAAATTGAATGAAAATTATCTAGGAAAATATTTCCCCCCCACTCAAAGATTCAAACACACCTATGGTTGTTTTGGGAAAAGTTGGCATAGAAGAATGAAGGCTAGCGTGGATTAATTAAGGTTATTGAGAAGTCATCCAAGTAGTAACCATGGTTTTAGCAGTATACTTCAATTCAGACGCAATAAAAGAGGGTGTTAAATGCACGTTAATGCGCACAAGCTTGCACTCTTCAGAAAACTGTTTATTCATTCCCTCTATGAACCTTAACCTTTCACTTTATTGTTAATCATTCCCAGTCAAAAAGACGCACCAAATTGGGATGGAGGGAGTAGGTCAGCATAGGATATATTTTGATGCCTTTTGTTTACTAAAATACTAAAAGAGAGTTGTGCCACATGATAATCTGATTCTTGCTTATATGGGACACTGTAGGGATGCTCTTATCACTCCGGTTTCAAGTATAATTCTGAGATGGACTTGAAAGAAAATTTGCTGGCTTCTAAGGTGCAGGAGAAGCAGAAAGTAGTAACTCAAGTATGGAGACCAGTCTCGACTCTGTCAACTTCTTGTGAGGGTGAATATTCTGACTTCTTCATATGTTGGCCTCTGAGAGCTGACTTCATATGCATATATGGTTACCTTTGAGATCTCAATATTGTGTGAATACTTTTGTTTTGAATTATGATCATCATCACCTTAATCCCAACTAGTAAGTTGGCGGTGTCACTTCAAGACGTTAATAAATATTCAAAATTGTCAAATTTCCATGCGCACACATGTAACCTAATATTGCTTATAATAATATTCACTATCCTTTTGTTCTGCATTACTGTTTGACAAATATTAACAATAGCATGATGTTGGCAACTGAATATAATTGGATACTTGTGGAATCAATGGTAAAAGACACTAGCTTCCATGTGGAAATTCTTCATGTTTTGATCACGATAGCAGAAGTAAAGTGGCAGGAGGACATCATACCTTCTTTTCCCATCTCTCAGGTATAATTTCTGAGGGTGGTGATGCTAAAGAAGCTGACTCAAATTTGTGCCCAAACACATTTTATACTTGTACTGAAGGAAGTAATACTACAGGAGATACACCACTTGTTGATGAGAAACAAATTTCAGTGGCTGAGAAGCATTCAATTTCAATACAGGTAGAGTTCTCATTAAACAGATGGCTTTGCAGTTGTTGCTGACCGATAGATTACTGTTAAGTTTGTTATCAGGGGGCTACGCCTTCCTGGATGTTGTTTATGATCCTCCCTTAAACTGTAATACTGGCCAAACTTTTGGCATTCGCACATTTCTTTACTACAAATGTCACATTATGATCTTTATTCACCATACTCCCTCCGTCCCACTATTTTTGTCCCATTTTAGCTATTTCGTCTGTTCCCCTATCCCATGCTATATTTGGTCATATTTGTATCATTGTGTGGTTTTCATTCATTCTCAATTTATCTTACTTTTTCTTACCTTTTAACATTAATATCAACCACACAATATTACTTTTCTTAATCTTCGTGTCACTTCTTCATGTCCCAAATATAGTGGGAGGGGGAGAGTATAAAGGTAGAAAAATGTTTTGTTGACTCCGAAAGAACAATTAAGTGGGCCACTGCCAACTTGTTGCTAGCTTGATATACGGAGTAGTTTGTATAGCTAAGATGCCTCAATCTGTGATATTTCGGTGTTCTGTGACATACTTGAATGCCAACTGATTATATATTTTTATCTCCTTAATCCATGCACCAAATACATAGTGCACAATGATTTCTAGTTACAAGCAATGTCTTTTGTTGTCTACGTAAGTGCTGAGGTTCTGCAAATATGTTTGTGTGTGAATTTATTACCATTTCAAAATAAAGTAAACCTTCTGCACTTGTATCACCTCTTAGCAACTCTTTTCTCATTATGTACATGCAGACAGGGGCTGCTTTGATGCGTTTCATTAAAGGGAAAGGGTATTTTTCTGTGCAAATTTTCTTCACTCATTTAAAAAAAAAATTTCCATTAGTGTTTGATAGTTTTTGAAACAGGGGAATTACACAGAAAAAAATTGAGGAGGATCTTGGTGTTCAAATTTCTTTTCCTTCATCCCAAAAGGAAGATTCTCTTAGTAAGTTGCATGTTTCTGGCTTAGTTACTTCCACTTGTTCTTTTTGTTTGTTTTTTAAATCAAATCAATCTATTCATAAACTTACGTGCATCAATTCTGCCACTGTTTAGACCCCGTATATTCCTCCACAGAACATCTCTTCCTACTTTATGTGTATAACATCCAATTGTCTATTCATTTTCCATCCTTCGACTATAAGAAATATACCAACTTTTCGTTACTTCTATGCAAGTCGAAAAAACATAAGATGATTACGGCAGGGCACCCAACTTTTCTTGTGCTGATGCATCTTTTTCATGAACTCTCTTGCTAATTAATGTTAAACGATTAATTGATAGTTTGATATTATAAATGATCAAATCCAATGCAGTCAACCTCAGTGTTGTTGGGAGATTAAGGCAGTGGTGATGATGCACATCTTTACTTTAACCTTTTTTTTAAAATGAGATTTTCTGCAGTTTGGATATTAATTTACTTTTTCTGTGCTATTATATACTCCATATATGTGCCAAAGACCTTGTGGTCCAACGGCATGATCATGACTCTTTCATATGAGAGGTCACAGGTTCCATCCCCAGTGAGGGTAATAACTCTACATGCTTAACGGGTTGAGAATGCATGAACACATACTACATTATATTAGAGTTATTAGTGTTCAAAAAAATATACTCCGTATTTGTATTTCTACTCACCCTGTTCCTATTTGTCTGTCTAAGCTATCCAAATCCCACATTTTAAGACAATATATTGAGATGATAAATTAATTGATAAAATATTTTAGTACTTCATCTAAAATTCCTCAGTAATTGACAGACTCAGTGATGTTCCTCTAGGGATAATATAAATTAAATAATATACGAAGAGCAAATCAGAGTAAAGCTAGTTAATGTTCATAGATTTCTTAGATGGAAAAATAAAAAAGGACAAAGAAAAGTGATCAACCTAGACAAATACTCCGGGGTATATAAGAACAAAGGGAATATGTTTCAATGTTTGACATGTTTATATTGGTTTCTTGTTTCAGCAATTGAAGGCAATTCCCCTGAAAGTGTTGCAGAAGCCTCAGAAAGAATCAAGATAATAATTGATGAGGTTTTACGAGCCTCTGAACTTTTACAGTTTTATTTTACCAGAAGAGAAAATATTTGTGCTTTCTGTACAAGTATGCAGTTATGTTGACGTCCATGAATTTTAACTCTTCTTTACTTCGTTGTGCGGGGAAATTCCAACTTGTTACTTCCCAGTGGGACAGAGGAAGTTTTTTTTTTGAAAACGGTTATGTATTGGCTAAGACTGGTAAGGTTTGGGTATGCAAATTAGTCAAACGGTACATTTTTAGAAGGTTTTTTTATCTCTCACTTTCTTCTGTTTTTCGTTCCATTTCCAAACCATATGCCCATTCTTTCAAACTAGAACCTCATCGAGTTGGGATTATACCGGTTTATTGTTGTGTGTGTGTATTGCCATTCCTTTCACCACACTTATTGAACTTTTTTGTACCCCATACCTGTTTCCATACTGTGTAGTGTGTACAGTACCTTACCCATATCTATGCAACATAGTTGCATAGTACACCAAACCGCTGGGAAGGAAATTCCAAGTCCTGCTGAATAAAGTTGATGTTCAGAGGTCTTACCCTGCTGGATCACACATCACATACATCACTGTTTTCTACAGGCACTTAATAGCACAGCTCTGGACTACTCCCACTTCGTGTCACTTCCCTTGTCCATACATGCTGATCTGGTAAATAAGCTCATCAACTTTCAAAGCTCAATTCTTGGAGCAACAGAAGTTAATGAAGAAGGGAATTCAGAAAGCAATTCAAATGGAGACACTTCAAGTGAGGAAGAGGGTAAGAATATTAGTAAAACTCCAAAGGTTGTGGCAGAACCCAAGACTAAAAATGATGGAGAGCATGCTAAAGTTGATGTGCCTAAGATATCACTTGTGAGTTATCCACCTAAAGTGTCATCAAAACTGTCAGGTATTACAATTCTTGCATGCTTCTGTAGAACAACTAAGCCTTCAATGTTCATCCAACCTCAATGACTCATTGTTTCATTACTTGTTTCCTTGAAAAGTTCATTCTTCCAACCCTTACTTTTTTGACGTGTTTCTTTGTAATTCAAACATAAGATACTGATAATAGCTTTGAAAGGGTTCGAGTCCATTTAAGTGCACCATTCAGTTTATGCTTTGCTATTCTTGTTTGTCTTTATAGTCACTTAGTGAGGTCAAGCTCCATGATTTACGGTTTGATTTTACGATTTAAATCTTGTAATGGAACACGACGACAACAAATATCTCAGCTTACTGCCGTCATATGGTATTTTCCGTGCACGTGGAAATTGGAAATAATATATATGATGATGCTAATTTTAGAATTTTCATTTCATTATTCATTATTCATTGTTGTTGTTTGTATTCCTTGTGACATTTGGCGTAAAGCAATGTCAGTATGCTTTTTGCATTAATTTATTTGTTACTTAATTCTATACAATTAAGTGACACTAAATTAATGCCACCGACCCCAAGTAGTTGGGGTTAAGGATAATGAAGTCACTTAGCAAAAGCAACAACAACAAACCCAATATAATCCTAATTACGTTGGGGTCAATGGGTCAATATGTATGCACTATTGCCCTATAATAACCTAGATGTTGTTTCCAGGGTCACATATCAATAGTAACTCAAATATTGGCCATAATACTTGTTTAGGGATTCAGAAGTCCACTTTCATTAATCCAAAAATGCTACACCTTACTGTACTCATGCTGAAATTATGGAATAAGGCCAGAGTTGAAAAGGCTGTTGAGGTTTTGCAGGTAAGTTCTCTATAAGTAGCATTTGTGGAAATGTTGTTTTTGGCTCTCATTAGATCCTTTTGTATCATCCTTTATGATTTCATATTTTATATTTTGTATTTTTCATCTTCAGAACGTGTCATCAAAAGTAATTGATGCCTTGGAGAACCGGCCTATCTCTGTACGCCTTAAGGGGTTGGTAAGGTGTCTTCCAACTGAAACTGCTTAATATGATTCTGTACCTCTGCTAACCTATGTATCACTTATTAGCCATGTCATGAAAACCTTATTCATACTGTTTCATTTTTCCCCATCCTAATTTTGCAATATGTGACAATAAAATAAATACTTACTCATTTAACTCGATGCGTCCCTATCTTTAGCCACTAGCAGGGTGCTTATCAGGACTTAATAATTCCTTGACTGAAACAAAAATTACATGTTGTTCCCTTGTAGAAGTGCATGAAAGGCTCATTCGCCCGTGCTCGAGTTCTATATGCACCTGTAGAAGAAATCGGCAATGAAGGGCGGCTTTCACGTGCTTGTCGTATCCACAATTTACGCGCATATTTACCCCCC